CCTGCCGCCAGCCGCCCGTCCCCGCGGCAGGGGAGGAGACGGCTCCCCGGGCGGCTCCGCCTGCTCCTCGGCGGCTCGGGAAGCACGGCCGGAGTAGCCGGGCTGGGTTAAAAATAGTTCGGGGCCTTTTTTTTCCCTCTTGTGAATCCCTCTGATTTTTGGCCATTTATGACTTGACGTCGATAAAATACTCGCATGCTCGCATCCGATGAATGTGCAGCATTGCGTGGGGCCCGCGAGGGCAAGCCCCTGGTTCAGGGAAGGCTGGATTTCACCAGAGCTATAAACCGCCGGGCGGCCAAGCTGTAGGCGAGCTGCCCGCTGCCACACACGGCACCTGCTGTTTTGCCGGGGCAGGGCAATTTCCACAACCGAGCCAAGCTGTTGAGAAGCATTAAGGTACCCAAGGCTGGGAGACTGAACAGGAATGAGGAATTTTGATGCCAAATCCACTCAAAAGCAATTCCAAAAAAACCTCCTCAGTGTTATCCCCGAGGAGAAAAGGTGATTTTAGCACTGGCCTGCACCACTTTCACCCTTGCCACCGTCCCTTCACAGCCACAGGAGCTGTGGTCCGAGGGTAATAACCGCATCCCTAATTTTGATACAGTTTGGTTTTGAAAGCTGTCAGTCTTCCTGCCCCAAGGACTGATGGCCAAGGCATGTTTTAAATGGAGAAATGAGTGTTCCTCTCTTGAATGCATTTTAAATCAGTACTCCATATTGCTGCATACCTTTGTAGATATATTACATTCCAGCAGTTCCAGTCTTTACAGGCAGGTGTGCTGGATCTTTTCGTAAATGATGCATTTTGAGGAGTATTTTGTTGAATCTTCGCTAATGAGAGTTTTCCTTCTCAAAACGAGAACAAAATATTTCTCAGTACCGTAAAGTGTGACAAACTGAACTTGGCACACATAGCTGGTTCACTAGCTGCCCTTCTGCCAGCCTCTCCATATGGCCTCCTTGACAGGCATTCGCAAATGGTCTGTTTGAAGCAGTATATCTATATATGAGTCAAAGTTTTATGCATTTTCCATTTTCAAAAAGGTATGGGTAGAACACACTACTTCTAGAAATTCTCTTTTGAAGGGTGATTTACTGTATATTTTATCTGTAGTAAAATAATGACCACAGTTACTCTCCATTTATTGCATGTATCACTGTAAGGCGTGCAATGTGGAGTGTCAGGATGCTTGTCATATGGAATGCATATTCACATGCCATTGCATTTTTATAAATTAATTTATGGTTTTAATTTGACCCTGGGTCATACATATATACACACAAAAAAAGAACACGCTTGCCTGCAGAAATAGGAATCATCTACTGTCCCTCTTGTGAGAGTCTGAAAGTTTGAAGTCAGAGGAGATGAAGCTAGGTAAACTCCCCCAGCTGGTAAAAGGGTGGGAAGCAGGACATTCAGTTCTACTCTCGCCTCCATGGCACTGTCATCCGGCACTCACTCAACCCCTACTCAGCAGCTTTCTTCATTTCACTTCTTGGGATTCTCTCCATTTAATCTCTTCTTCCTTTCCCTCTCTCTCCATTTCTGCACAGCCTTCAACACTCATTCCCAGTGGCACAATTTCCCAGCTGACTACCCAGCTGCATTTACTCTTGCACACTCTTTATCCTCATTTTATTTGACTGAAGCCTTCACTGATCAAAAAAGTGGTTCACAGACCTAGGATTTCATCAAATCTTACCGCCTTTATGATTATTTTTGTTACTTCATCTTCTTTTTCTATTGTTTTTCTTTTCCCAGAGATTTTTCAGCCTTTCCATAGTATTCTTTACCATGATTTACTATTTGCTTTTGGCCTTCCCTCTCTGGTTTCACCTTTCTGTCATGCCTCTGATTGCTGATGCTCTTCATGTGTGTTTCTTCTTAGCCCTTGACTTATCATTTTATCTCATTACTAAACCTCAGACACGATTCAATCTTGACACTGGCTTTTTTCGGCTCTGCTTTTGCCTTGTTGAGTGCTTCTGGAGGAAAGATGGGGACCTGTCTGATTTCTGTGACAAATCTGTTTTCCTAACATGCAATTCTAATTTATACCCCATTTTCCCCTACACAACAGGAACCTATGCATAAAGCCTGCTGTCCTCATTCTCTGCACAGAATTCAAACCATTTCTTTTGGGAAGCATTTTCTCACCTCATCTTTTCCACCTCTTTTGCTTGCATTCACCTTCTGCCAGTGCCCTGATGTTCCACCTCTTTCAGATATTTCTGTTCTCCTCTCCTGTGCTAAATGAAAGTATTCCTCTTCACGTCACACTATCCCCCTTTCACACATTCTTTTCCTTTTTTTTTTTTTAACTTTTCAATCTAGCTATCGCTCCTTGCAGTTCTCTAATCTCTCCTGTGCAGAGGAGAAAGGACCCATTTCTTGCTCCAGTTTATTGCAGATTATTGTCCTATATTCTTTTTCTCTCTTTCATTAATAGACCCCATGATCACAGTGTTCACGATCCATGTCTGGGCTCCTCTGTTACATGGTCTGCAGTCTGCCTGCAGATCTTTGTGCTCAATTGTCACTGCTGTCACTGAAGTGCCTAAAGAATTCCTCCTACCTAAATCAAATCCCGCTTAATCTGTCAACCTCTTTCAACAATACTCTTCCCGACATCTTGTTTTTGCTTGGTCCAATGATTTCTACATGCTTCTCTAACTATTTTTTCAGCCTGTTTGTCAGCAGATCCACTACAGGTCCACCACCCTTGGTTTCTGAGGGGCGCCACAGCAACTTCACCCTTTCCCCCTTTTTTCCTCTGTGCCTTATCACTGGATAACCTTATTCCAATAAAACTATCTCTCAGTCCTTAATTTAGATTTGCCCTCTGTCCACCTAAAGCCCCCCTTGCTGTCTAGCCACATGCCGAGCTAAATCTCAATCCATTTCTAGCAGGTCCTCCCTCGTGTGCTCGACAGCTTTCATTCGCCTGTCCCCGGACACCTCTGATTCCGATCTCCCTCCAGTCTCTCCCACGGTGGCTTCTTTGAAAACCGACGCAGGGCCCAGGCCCCTCTGCATAACCTCTAGGTACAGCTGCCCGCACCCTTGCGCACAGGCAAACCTGTTAGCCTGCTCCCCACACGCACAAATCCAGTGCAGTATCTTCAGGTCTTTCAGCAAGACCCCGCCAAATTCAGACGCGAAGGTAACCCCATCATGTCTCTCCTCCTTTGCACCCCCTTCCTTTCTTTGCCTTGAGTTTCTAAGGTGCCCCGCAGCCAGACCTGCCACTACCCGTCGCCCCTCAGCGGGCCGAGGCGCACTCCCGCCCAGCCGGCAGCCCC